CTACATTGTATAATTATAACGCCCGGACATTCGTTTCTAAATCCGCTTGCCACGGAGTTTTCGGTCGTCATCATAACATTACATCCGTTCGAACCAAATCTCACGACATTTTTGAGGAGAATGCCTCAATGATTTAATCAATTTATTGACTACTAGCTGTTCTCCGCGACTTCGCCCGCGTGTAATTTAGGGTTTTAATAATGTTGCACGGAACCCTAATTCTTTTTCTAAAATATATGTGACCTAAGTTACTCCTTATAACATCAGCTATCTGCCAGTGAAAGTCCCGTCGAAATCGGTCTAGCCGTTTCGGAGATTAGCTGGAACAAACAGACACAATTTTTTTTAAAATTGTGTTTTTGTTATAAGTACCGTGTATACTTTCATATGCATTTAGTAAAAAGCTGGTATTTTAACAATTCAAACAGACACTTCAATTTTATTTATTTGTATAGATATGATTTGAATAATTTAAAATTAAAAATTTTGTACAACCGACTTTCAATATAAGTTATTAAGAATAACTCAAAAACTATTGGTCTGACCGTGATCAAATTTATATGGGACCATATGAGAAGCACCAGCTTTCGAAAAAAAAAGAATCATCGAAATCGGTTCACCCAGTAAAAAGTTATGAGGTAACACACATAAAAAAACATACAGTCGAATTGAGTACCGTCTCCTTTTTGGAAGTCGGCAGAAAAAAGGACGAAGTACTCAATACGACTCATTTATTTATGTGTGTTACCTTAGAACTTTTTTCTACGTGAATCGAATTTGATTATTATTTTTTTTTCTGAAAGCTGGTGCTTCTCATGTGGTTCCATGTAAATTTGATCAAGATCTGACCAGTAGTTTTTGAGTTATCTTTAATAATGCGTATTTAATTATCTTCGACCACATTGTTGATGATCTCCATAGATTAATGATAACTCATTAATCTATGATGATCCCATTTTTTTTATATTGAAGTCGGTTGTACAAAATTTTTAATTTTACCACTTGTATATAATTATACCAAATTTCACTTGGCCAATATAGCTAAATACCGATACCAATCCGAACCAGAAATTATCAGCAATGTCTCAAAAATTGCTGTTTTTGGGTTGGATTCGTTTTGCGTTACACGTCTAATATACAGAACACCAGCGTGAAATGGCAGCTTAGGAATGCAGCTGCTGTGTTTCGTAAGGTGAGTGTAGAGAACCGGGGACCCTTTTTACTGGAAGCGAGGCATTCCATCTTAGTCCTCCGGGGTGACAACGAATCTGCATTTTGATTAATTGAAAATAAATGTACGAGTAGATGTCTATGGGCCAAAGCGTCTTGTCACCAGGTGGACCGTGTACTCGTTTGTAACCCTTATTCTATAAAAGAAAAATATGTAGCTAGTAAACAATTTTTATTTTTAACAGTCTTTCTTAACCTTTCGACAGTCAAAGCATCCATCCCGGCTATGTGTCAAATGTCTATTGTCAGTAACTGTTATAAATTGCAGCGATTCAATTCCCGCCATTTTATATTTTTTAAATTACTAGAAATTATTATTAAACTTCGTTTTTAAAACTAATGTTATAATAATATACAAATTTAGATGAGAAAAACATGTTTATTATATTTTATTGTATTAAAAATAACATTATACCCGTATATTTAAAGAAAATACGAAATTAAGTAAATAATTTCTCCCAGGTAGTAGGTAAATACAAGCCGCAATGGTTGCAACATATAATAAATGACGCCATCTTGAAAGATACTGTTGAGGGGATATTTATCTATTATGTATTCTGTGATCACGGTCCATAAATTCATTAGTCAAATTCCGCGACAGATTCGCGAAATATTCGGCATGGTAGCGTCCGTTTTGGCGTTGAATCAATATCCGCTGTCGACCTTGGACTCGCACCAACGGTCGCGGTCACTATTCTTTGCTTGACGTAATTCACAAGCGGAAGCGAATTATAGAATAGAATGTAATAATTTATATTAATAAAAAAGAGTTTATATTTTTTTTTAAATCCGTCAACGCACCTGCAACGCCCATGGTGTTGCAGTTCTTCATGGGCGGCGATCGACACTTACTGTCAGGTAAGCGGCACGCTCGTTTGCATCCTCTTATATAAAAATATCGTAAACAGTATAGGTAACAAAATAATAATTGTTTATGGTTACTCTTTAACTTCTATACGTGATAGATAGTAGTATAGTTATAGCACGAATGGGTCGGCTCGACCGGGGAAGGACCACGCTCTCACAAAATACCAGCATCAAATAGTAGCTTAAAACTGCTGTGTTTCGTATGGTGAGTGTAGAGAACCGGAGACCCCTTTTACTGGAAAAGAGGCATTCCATCTTAGTCCTCACGGGTAACAACGCATCTGCATTTTGATTCGCAAGCGAGGATAAATGTAGATGTCTATGGGCCACAGCAACCACTTACCATCAGGTGGACTGTGTGCTCGTTTGTCACCCTATCCTATAAAAAAATCACTGGTTCGGAAAAGCCTCTGCTTTGCGAATACCAGCAAGAAACCCAGTGAAACTTTTTACATAATTAAGTACAGGAATATAGTATTAAATGTACTAGATGAATTGTCACCCCTGAGGAATAAGATGGAATCCCTCTTTACAGTTAAAAGGGGTTCTCCACACTCACCTTACGAAACACAGCAGCTTTAAGCTGCTATTTTATGCTGGTATTCTGTAAGAGCATGGTCCTTTACCGGTTAAGGTCAGCTTCGTGCTGCAACTATAATATAGCAGCAGCATGACTCTACCACTGTATAATTTATGTATTCTTTTTGACTTAGCGCCTTCTAGATAATGCCACATAAAATGAATAAATAACAAAATAGATATTATGTTAATTTAAATTAAGAGTATTTGCACCAGATTTCACTTAAAAATGAAAGGTTAAAACAGTGATTTAAATACCCGACTGCGAAAAATAGTTTACAGGAATGAGAATTTTTTTGTACATTAAGTCACTTTCAAAACTAAGACGAATCTAATGACAGCCCATGTTATGTTAAAATCCATTAAGCCTTTTAGCACACAGACCACGCCAAAAAAATAGACTTACATACATACAAACAAGCAAGATTAACTGTTAAAAAAACCCGTCTGTGTAAAAATTTACTATATATATATATATACTATGTATAACACCCATTGTACGATTATACAGGGTTATTTATTATAAAGGTGAAGAAAACTTAAATAAAAAATTCTCAAACATTCTGTCCTTTTTATCGTTTAAATTTAGAATGCGTAATGCATTACCGCATTATTTCAACTAATTGTTAGTCATAAATATCTGACGCCTACTATTTTACTGCGCACGCACACATTCGTAAAGGTCGATCGGTCGGCAAAACCGTTGTGAATTGCACGCGTGTTTGTTGCTCATAAATCACATTCAATTTGAGATAATAGATAATAATAAAAAAAAGTAGAAGCCTTATTTATGTATTTTAAAAAACTACAAAAACGGTGTATCATTATTTATATGTTTTAACTTAAGTTTAAAATCTGGCCCTGTATAAGAAGTTTATCACAGCTTTATTATAAGATTTGAAAATTTAAGCGAGAATGGCCGCTAACCAACTTTACATCATTATAGGTGCTAAAGGGTCATTCAAAATCTAAAAGGACTAGAGAAACCTAAATATGATTTTCAAAGACCTAATCAATATGCCACTTGAATAGTTCGCCGACTTTCATTTTGGAACGAAGGCCCTTATTGACGGGGGGGGGGGGGGGGGCTACAAAAAGTTACAAAAAGTTAATCGACGTCGATCGAGCTGCTTGATTATTTGAGAATTCGCCCCGCTCCGCCGACCGCTACTTAAAATGTCGTCTCTGGGCTTAAAAGCCTCGCATCCAGAGTCTTCTGCGTTTGCGTCTCTATAATAATAATACGAGCAAGGGCGTACTGTACTGGCCAACAATAAAACGTCATCTTTTGTACATTTTGTAAGATACTTTTGACTTACTTTTGACGGCTCCGTGGCGTAGAGGCTTAGCAATGAGTTCCAGCGCTGGGGGCCGCTTTTTCGAATCCCGCACGGAACGAACGCGAACTCCTAGTGTGAGGGTAACGATTTTCAAAAAAAAAATAGAAAAAAGAAAGAAATTACTGATGATGAGCCCACAACCAAATCGATTAATAATTATCGATCGACTATTGAACAACGTTTTATCGACCAGTATCCGATTTGTCGATCAGCTAAAGCTACCACACCAATCGATCGATCGATTGGTGTGTTAACACACCAAGAGAATCCGCTTAAGCATACGCTTATCACTTACAACGTGTCCGCTAGCTTCCGAAAGTGTACGTAACCTTCATTCGCGTTAATAGATAACACCACGTGAAATAGATCGGCCGCAACATGTCTGCGCTCTAGTGCAAGAAAAGGAAATAGTCTATAGACGTCATACAACTCGAGACATATTTTTTTTATAGGATTAGGGTGACAAACGAACACACAGTCCACCTGATGGTAAGTGGTTGCTGTGTCCTATAGACATCTACATCTATCCTCGATTACGAATCAAAATGCAGATGCGTTGTCACCCGTGAGGACTAAGATGGAATGCCTCGTTTCCAGTAAAAAGGGTCTCCGATTCTGTACACTCACCATACGAAACACAGCAACGTTGAGCTGCTATTTCAAAAAGGGAGAGGTTCTCAATTCTTCGGAATCTTTTTTTTTATATATGTTCACCGATTACTCGAAGTCGCCTGAACCGATTTGGAAAATTCTTTTTTATTTGAAAGTTGGTGCTTCTCATGTGGTCCCATATAAATTTGATCAAGAGTTCTTGATCTGACCAATAGTTTTTGAGTTATCCTTATTAATTTATATTGAAGTCGGTTGTACAAAATTTTTAATTTTACCACTTGTGTTAATAGTAGACTGCAGATGACCATGGGTAGCAGTGACCACTTAAGCACATAAACTGCGAGATTATTTATAGTCTGTCCTTTTCTCCAGGTGTTCGAACATGCATACTCGGCGGGAATGCATCCCGACGATATCCTGGACAGCATCGCGTCCATGCGCCCCACTGTTGGGGTCGAGGAGCTCATCTCTACCCTGGCTGCTAACGACTGGGACGTGGTGGTGCTGACAGATGCCAACAGTGTTTTCGTTAACCACTGGCTGAAGACTCACGGTCTGCAGGTGGGTCCTGATGTGGAGAACAGACGATCTTACGATGTGTCAGCGTTTACTGTCACCTTATTTATTGCTCACTTATAAGATACAAGCTGTAACACCCTATTTCACCCCGTCAGGGGTTTAATTTCAAAATCCTTTCTTAGTCGGTGTCAACATCGAGAAAGGTGTAAAAATTTCAGCCTATATACGTCCCAATACTCATCACCTCCGCTAATCCCAAACTGCTAAGTTAATTACCGCAGTCTACTTCAGTCGTAAAGGCGAAACACGTGTCGTATTATCGACGGTGGTAGTGGTGATGGGGTTAGTGGTGAAGGGCGGGAGGTGCTCTTCAAACTAATTAAGACAAATCATTTTATTTTACTACCCGATTCTTAGCTCCCTAATTTTTAACAACTTTAATTTTCATACAATAATAAACCTAGCGAGCTAACAGCATAGCAAAGTGGCGAAGTAATCAGCTTTGTAGCGGTTTCTAACGGTTGCCGTTGAGCAATCAGTTTCAAAATAGGAGGTTCAGATGCCTGGGTGATCAGTAATCGATTGCTGAAAACAGAATTTGAAAATTCGAAACCGTTCTCGAGATAATCGTGGGACAGACGGACAGACATCGTGAAATCAATAAGTGACTTCGCAAGCTTCGCCACTTAATAAAATATTGGCGCTACATTTTTCTTATACAGATTAATCAGACATGTAAACGATATCTATCCACGCGGTACGTATACGTGGTAGAGCCATGCTGCAGCTATATTAATTGCTTTTGGATAGAATGCTTCGTTTCCAGTAAAAAGGGAGTGTCTCCGGTGTCCCTGCACTCACTATACGAAACAGCATTGAGCTGCTATTTTACGCTGGTATTCTGTAAGAGCGTGGTCCTTCTCCGGTCGTGCCGACCCATTCATGCTACAACTGTAATATAGCTGCAGCGTGGCTCTACCACGTATACTTTATACGCACAAAGGAAGATTTTAGAAAAAAAAGGAGGGTATACTTAAATAAAACTACGTTATTTTTTTTACTTTTTTTCATAACATTTTATTTTATAGAAAAAAATTGTTATCGTCGTAATAAACATCATCATGACTTAAATTTCTAGTTGTATTGGGTCACTTTAAGCCACTTGTATTTGGGAAAAGCTCTGGACAGCAAAAGCTCATGTTGCGCCGCTTTAGTATTATTTTAAAGTCCACTGCTGAATCTCCATAGTCCATATACCTTAGTCTCGTTGGGGGATTTTGCCATGGTTGGGACGATGCTACTCGTATGTTACGCTGGAATTCCGTGACTGCGAGCACACATGCATTAGCTTTTTTTTTTACTTAGGTATTATAAGCCAGTGCTTGACCACAATCCCGCCTGGTGGTAAGTGGTGATGCAGCCTTAGATAGGCAAACGAACTGTCTTAGCGCAACAAAAGCCTATTCACTCTTGCCTTGAAGACGCCCAGATTGTCTTGGGACGGAAAGACAGACGTCGGTATTGGCAAATTATTCCACTCCTTTGCTGTACGCAGTACACAAGACGAAGCAAACCGTTTGGTTCTAGTGTGTGGAATATCGACATCAAAGGGGTTGCAGGACCACCCGTAAACCACCTGGTTGTAATCCTTACACCAATGATGTAAGGAGAGTGAAGAATTAAAACATGTAATTTATGCGTACACGTGCTTATACGTGGTAGAGCTATGCTGCAGCTATATTAGTGGTATAGTTGTAGCACGAATGGGTCGGCTCGACCGGGGAAGGACCACGTTCTCACAGAACACCAGCGTAAAATGGCAGCTTGATACTGCTGTGTTTCGTATGGTGAGTGTAGATAACCATCTTAGTCCTCACGGGTGACGACGCATCTGCATTTTGATTCTTTATTGAGGATATCTGTAAATGTCTATGGGCTACAGCAACCACTTAACCATTAGGTGGACTGTGTACACGTTTGTGATCCTATCCTTTAAAAAAAACACTCCTGTACGAGCAAGTATATGGTATTTCAATAGTTTAGGAAATATGCTGATATCGCGTCTGCGCTCGCGACACGTTCACGCCAATTACAATATTTTTCAGTACAATAAACACCCTGTACGGAATCGGACACAGTTTTAATTAGCACATCCCGTAACGAAGATACAACCTGCATCGACATCCTACACATCAATTATATGTAGAGGGTCACAAATCACAACCCCAGCTTTGTCTGTAATATCTTCCTCCATATTCCAGGACGCTGTAACCTCTGTGATAACGAACAGGGCGTTCTGGCAAAACGACCGGCTCTTCATAGAGCCGTGCATGCATCAGACCAGCTGTCCGCGGTGCCCAAGTAACCTCTGCAAGTCCAAAGCCCTGGCGCAGTGGTGTTCGCAGCGCACCTATGCCAATATCGTGTACTGCGGTGACGGTAGGAACGACTACTGTCCCGCCACCAGTCTACCACCACATGTAAGTATTTTTTTTTGTTTTTGTTAAAAAGTTTTACACTGCTGTGTTTCGTATGAAGAACCGGAGGTTTTTTTACTGGAAAAGAGGCATTCCATCTTAGTCCTCACGGGTGACAACGCATCTGTGTTTTGATTCTTTATTGAGGATAAATGTAAATGTCTATGGGTCACAGTAAACACTTACCATCAGGTGGCGGTATGCTCGTTTGTCAACCTATTTATATAAAAAAGTTTAAAGGTGTTATGTTCTATTAAATTACATAAAATAACGTTTATATTTAACTACCGGAGAAAGACCACGCTCTCACAGAATACCAGCATAAAATAGCAGCTCAATGCTGCTGTGTTTCGTATGGTGAATGTATAGAACAGAAACTGTGGACCGGGCATGTGAGTGTTGCTTCCCAGGTCGAGCCGACCCATTCGTGCTACAACTATAATATAGTAGCAGCTTGGCTTTACCACGTACAAAACTGCACGTCCACGTAACTACGCATACATGCACGTCGGTTCACAGTACCCTTAATTTAAAGTTAAAAATAAAAAAGCCTATGTACGTCCCACAGCTGGGCACAGGCCTCCTCTCATTTCTGAGAGGGTTTTAGGGCAAGGAAGTGTCCGCCGCGCTGCCCCAATGCGTGCTGGCGAACTTGACATGTCTTCGAAATATTTTTTTTTATTTCTCAAACACGTAGGTTTCGTCACAATATTTTCTTTCACCGCCGTGCACGTGGTAAATCAGCACTTAAAATTGCTATTAACAATTTGGTGCCGGCGGGGATCGAATCCGGGTTGCTCGCGTACTGTGAAATTTACAGCGAGCGCTAACATCTGAGCTACCACGGCTCACCCTTAATTTGGTATCTCTTTAATATATATATAATTTGGTCGATATACATCTAGATGTCTTTTGCCACTCACATTTGCGGCATAAATTTGCTTTGTTATCCCACATCATTCATTCTAGATCCAAAACTCCGTTTTTTTTTATAGGATAAGGGTGACATACGAGCACACAGTCCATCTGATGGTAAGTGGTTGCTGCGGCCCATAGACATGTACATCTATCCTCTGTTACAAATCAAAATGTAGATGCGTTGTCACCCGTAAGGACTAACATGCAATGCCTCATTTCCAGTAAAAAGGGCCTCCGGCCACCTGCACTCACCAAGTGAAACGCAGAGGTAAACCTCTACTTCACGCTGGTATTCTGGGAGGTCGTGGTACCACTCCGGTTCGAGCCGGCCCATCCGTGAGACAGCAAAACCTGCCGCGTGGCTCTACCACTGTTAAAAAACGTCCGTAGCATTCCTTTTTTATCCTACACACAAGTCTTGCAAAGCACACTTTTCTCTCATCACACAATTTCTCACCCTATCATTCATAGTTTCACGGAATGCCAGCGTGCAATAGCAGCTTAATGCTGTTGTGTTTTATATGGTGAGTGTAAAACCGGAGATATTTTCTACTATACTCGGAGCATTCCATCTTAGTCCTCAGGGGTGACAATGAATCTGAATTTTGATTCTTAATCGAAGATACTCCTAGATATAGATATCTATGGACCAAGGCTAGACACTTACTTAGACATATACCATATGTCAGGACAAAGGAAATGAATTGCTGCCACCTAGTTGTTCTACTACCATCAAACAATGTCTCCAGTATTAATTACCATTCTTAATCTGATTACAGGCGACAGTATTCCCTCGCCGGGGATACCCGTTAGATAACCTCATCAAGAAGACCCTGGCCTCTCCAAATCCCCAAGTGAAGGCCAAAGTGGTACCATGGGACGACTGCTATCGGATATTGCACGAAATCTTCCCGAAGAAAATACAAAACAAACATAGTTAATATACTACATTGATAGCGCAGTTAATTTAGTGTATTTATTGCTTGGGTGTATTTTATTAGTAGGAAAATCAAAGATGTTAAAAATTTTGATTTTTATAGCTTAGATCCGTGTAATAAAATAGAGTGATGTATATTACGCAGTATGAAGAGCACTTCCCGCCCTCCCTCAATTGCGAGCACTATCCCCGTCACCACTAGGAGGAAAGACACACACCGCTGACGATACGAGTTTCGCTTCTAAACATGCTCAGGTGAAGTACACTCTGCGGTAACTGACTTTTATGCTGCAGCTATATTACTAGTATAGTTGTAGCACGAATGGGTCGGCTCGACCGGGGAAGAACCACTCTCTCACAGACTACCAGCGTAAAATAACAGCTTAATCCCGCTGTGTTTCGTATGGTGAGTGTAGAGAATCGGAGACCCTTTTTACTGGAAACGAGGCATTCCATCTTATCCCTCATGGGTGATAACGCATCTGCATTTTGATTCGTAATCGAGGATGTTACACTTACCATCAGGTGGACTGTGTGCTCGTTTGTCACCCTTATCCTATAAAAAAAAAACTTAGGTCGGGAGTAGTGGTGCTGGAATTAGTGGTGACGGGGATAGTGCACGCAATTGATGGAGGGCGGGAGGTGCTCTTCATACTAGGTAAGACAAGTCATTTTGTTTTATTACGTAGACCTTGGCTAATAAATTTTTGACATCTTTTATATAATGGATTTCCGCAAAGTAACGCCTGATTCTATCAATTATCGTAGATAGGAATTTTTTTTTAAAACTAATAGGTAGAACATTTATTGTACGCTTTAACTTACCCTAAAAGGGAGCGAGATTTAATCTACGCAACAATTATTATTTATATAAATCCTAGATACTAAACATAGATAATTATACTACAGCAGGCTTATCTACTCCCGAAATCGATTTTGAAATCGATTCAAACTGAAAAAAAGGTATTATTTCGAAAATGATATTTCATGTTTACCCCTGAAACAATGACGAATCCACGATTTTTCTGCCACCAGGGCGGCGGTACTTAAAAATGAGGTGAAATATTTGACAGATTTCATAGCGGGAAAGTTAATTTGTTCGGAAAATGTAAAGGTTAATGTTTCTTTCTGTACTATTAGCTATAGTTTATATTAATAAGATTAAAAAATAAACCAAACCACAGATATTCGTAATAGTAGAACAATTAACAAAAAGCGTTAATAATGTGCAAAAAATTAAAGAGCAAACCGCTGAGGCATTGTTTTGTGTATTAAAAATATATAGATAAACTTTTAATTGAAACTAACATCTCAATTTCTTCTCAAAAAATTTATTTCTCAATTAAATGACATTATATAACAAAAAAACTTGAGCTCAGTGTCAACTAGCGACGTCTAAGTGATTATCGTCCCTCATTCGATTGATTTAGTACTCGATTCTGTGGGGAGTAGGCCCGCTATTGATAAGCGCCTACTAAAAATAAACATGGTTTATACGGATTAATCAAACGGACATTTCGCTGTTTATACCAAATTATGCACGGTGTGTAGGTGTAGTGAGCAAAAAAATAAACAATAATACATTTAATGAATATTTATTTCACTGTTAAATCAAACTTTATGCACGTTGTGTAAGGTGTGCAAAACAAATTAACAAAAAAATACATTTTTAATTATTTATTTCACTGTTATACCAAACTTTATGCACGTTATGCAAAAAATAAACCTAAAAATACATATTGATACAATGAATATTTATTTCTATTGAAATTATAAATTAAAATCTTAATATTGTGGCATGTCATGAAAATTGACTTTTAGAAAGTGAAGTTGTCATTAAATTCAATCCTTTCTTACTCTGCGCGTTCACGTCATCATCCCATAGCAGGTCCACTGTTGAGACATATTGCATACAGCTCCCTCAAGAAATGCCTACCTGCATATCTTACGTCACTAACTACATGTGTTGGTAGGCCGCCTTACACTTTGCCCACCGGTACGAGGCTGTCACTTGAGAACCAATCCAAAAAAACGTCGCCATGTTACAGATTTATATTTATTGTTTTGTACCTATAACAGCGATTAATGTTCCTGGCCAAAAGACTTGTAGCCAATGCCACCAAAATGAAAAGATGGCCATTGTATCATTCAGGGTGGTTTTATATAAACATCTGAATTATAAGTAGCGGCACGAAAGTCTAGCGGTGACCGTTATTTCGCATAAGTCGCACTGATTGGCTCTCCAGTCGCATTCGTGCGCGTCCCCTCCACGTTTCGTTCAGCGCTAGACTTACGTGCCGTGACTTGTACTACCTAATTTCTTTAAAGTTTGTAGTGCAATTTATTTATATCTTATAAAAATAGTTCATAAACTCTTTATTTCTGTCATATATACATAGTTGTACTGAGATATTATTTTTAAGTTTTTTTTATGAAATATATTTAATTGCTGAGAAGTTCATAAATAAATGTTTTGTGATAATAAAAGTATTACAATTTTGTTTTTGTTTTTCTTTTCTATGAGTATAATTCGATGAATGTAATGGTGGTATAAGAGAATTGAACATACATTTTTCCTGTTGGTGACGTAAGAGGCGACTATACGACTTGTCAGGAAGATCTTGGTTTTCGATAGATGCAGTATACCCACTATTCAACTTAACGCCATGGGAGAGCAGTAAATATCATAGTACGCGAGCAACCCGGGTTCGATCTCCGCCGGCACCGATGAAATTACATATTGTAGTTTTAAGTGCTGATTTATCACGTGCTTTGCGGCGACTTGTGAGGAAACGAGCATTTTCTTATAGAATAAAATATAACAAGCGAACGCAGCACATCTGATGGTAAGTGGTTGCCGTGGCCCATAGACACATCTATCCTCAATAAAGAATCAAAACGCGGATGCGTTGTCACCCCTGAGGACTAAGATGAAAAGCCTCTTTGCCAGTAAAAAGGGTCTCCGGTTCTCTTCACTTCACCATACGAAACAGCAGAATTGAGCTGCTATTTCACGCTATTTATGACAGCGTAGTCTTCCTCCGGTCGAGCCGACCAAATCGCGCTACAACTATAATATATCTGCAACATCGCTCTACCACGTTTAACACTAAGTCTGAGAAATTCTCCGCAACACATTCGGACAGCGTAACAGACAATTCCTTGCCCTAAGTCTCGCAGCGAGACTTGTGCTCAGGAATGAACAGTTCAAAGGTTGTAAATTTACTTTTACTTTACAACTTCCCTTTAAAACTCATACTTTATACTCAATACGGCGATGTGGAGCAGTATATCGACAGAATTATAGATTGATTAATTGCTTTAAATACGCCGCCACCTTATGGCAAACGAGTAAAATGTTTAAAATGAAAAGCAATCACAATTTTTCACATTAATTTAATCAATAAATAGGTACCCAGATATTTACAATTTTATAATTAATTATTGCGCTTCGATCAATGTAATTAAAAAGTATAGATCGGTTAATCATCGAAAGAAAACGAAGACAAGGCTTATTAGCATAGAGCCTACTCCTTTCTAAATTGCCGCCAACACACCTACAATTCCCCTGGTATTGCATATTTTCATGGGCGACAATGATCACTTACCATCGGACTTTTGCTAACAAAACAGATTCACTTTTATTATTTGTTAATTATTTTTACAGTGCGACGCGCAAATGTAACTACAACTGTCTCTTTCTTTCATATAAAGATGTGATATAAATATTTCTTCATATCTCTTTCTTTCGCAATCCCTAATCCGACCCTATATTAGCGGCGCTGTGTCAACTTTGGTACAGATTTTAGTTTTTCAGATTATATCTGATAACATAGCCATACTTTTTAAATAACATTGAGTTTGATCTCTATAATTGACGAACAAATTAACAAAATTCGTAGGAAAAATACAAAATATACAAATAAATACTTAATGACGGAGGAGATAATGCTAGATATAATGCCGATCGCACACATGCAATTTTAAATTATTTATTACAAATATATTTTATTAAATATATTCAAATGCTTCAGTACACAAATATTTAAATTATTTTATTAGACAACTGAACCCGAACTAGGCATATATGTGAATCTATTGAGCTATTGTAAAGTGAAATCACATATAATCACTAGAAAATCAACGAAAAATAAAGGCTGGCCCAACCATAACGCACGATGTTAATTGTGACATTTCTTTATTTCACTGTTGGTTAAATTCAACCATGGAGAGATTTGTTGAAGCCTTTTACGAAAGTGGGCGTTCAAATCAAAATGCATTTCGTGATTTTTATTTTGGTCAGCATAATTGACCAAATGTGTCCACAATCGTGAGAATTGTACGCAAATTTCAACAAACCGGGTGTGTAGGAAATGTGAAAACACCTGTGCATGCTCGCCCAGTTCGTTCTGAGGAAAACATTGCTGGTGTTCGCAATAATGTGGCAGAAGAACCGTCAACCTCGACTCGTCGTCGTGCTAAACAATTGAACATCTCACGAACATTTGCAAGCGAATTTTTAATAAAGGTTTGAATTTACACGCTTACAGGGTTCGTTTGACTCAAGAGCTGAAGCCCACCGACCATTTCAAGCGTCGTCAATACGCCGAATGGTTGATTGAACAGACAGAAGTGACTTTACAAAGAAAATCATCTTCAGCGACGAGGCACACTTTATCCTCGGTGGATTCGTCAACAAATGAGAATCCACGAGTGTTTGTTGAAAAGCAGGTGCATCCACAAGGAGTGGCTGTTTGGTGCGGTTTATGGGCTGGCGGCGTCATCAGGCCGTACTTCTTCGAAAATGAGGTCGGCCAAGCAGTTACCGTGAACGGTGTTCGCTATCGCGTGATGATAACGTACTTCTTGTGGCCAAAAATTGAGGATATGGACCTGGTGGTTCCAACAGGATGGTACCAACAGCACAGCCAACGAAACAATGGATCTTTTGCGCGAAGAATTCAATGGCCGTGTATTTCACGTCGTGGCGATGTTAATTGGCCGCCACGACCATGTGATTTCACACCGTTGGACTTCTTTCTTTGGGGATATTTAAAAGAAAAAGTGTACGTATAAACCAAGAACAATTTAAGAGCTAAAGGATGATATAATTCGGCACATTAACGACACTGAACCTCAATTATGTCCTCAGAGTCATTGAAGATATGGACCATCGGATAGAAGTATGCCACCGAAGCCGTGGCGAGCATTTGGCCGATATTTTGTTTCACATATAATTGCCATAGATCCTTCGGTCATAATAAAAATATTAATAAATTCTCTGAAAACTTTTTGTTTTATTTACAATTAAGATCGTGCGTTTTGGTGGGATCACCTCTATAATCACAGTAAATAACACCTGTTAGTGGGGGTAGTTTTACAATTTTTAAGGAAGACTTTTGAGGGTAGTAAGGAATCTTGGCTATACTCCATTTTGTAATTGACATGGAACTCTGGGTCCGACGCAAAAAGGAAAAGAAAAAGACTATGGAACTTCTAGGTGTTTTGGTTTTTTTTTTTTCATTATAACAAACCATTGATTTTATATCATAAATTATACAATACTTTGATGTACTGAATGAGAGTAGAATAAAAATGAAATGAAAGCAGAGCTGACAAAATAGCAATGAAGCAGCGGGGTAGTTTCATCTGATCGAAATTCAGATTATTAAGGAAGACTTTTGAGGGTAGTAAGAAATGTTTGAAATACTCCACTACGTTAACACATGACTCGTAGACGTTTCGGTCACGCTAGACATATTTTAATGGATACAATAAGAAAATAGATATTAGCTTATCTAATATACAAAAAGCCATACATATATAGATAGACAGGCGAGTGCTTCTGCGCTTGTTTGCACTATGATTTTCGCAGGTTTCTAATAATGTCCTTCAGATCGAATTTCGGTCGCGACGGCCAGTCTTAACGGAGACAGGATTATAGTGCACGAGTGTGTGTGCAAGCACAGGTGCAGTCTCTATTGCCTCACTCTCATAGTGCGATGGGACGGTACACCGACACGACCGGAGAGAGATCAGGCGCAGGACCAACGGCTTTACGTGCTTTTAATTTGACCGGGGGTGAAATAACGCCAACTTCCTGACTCCGGACTGCCACTGAGGATTTCTTGACGCAAAAATACAATTACTGATTTTTGGACCGACCGCGGTTACGACTACCGGACTAACGAGATAATTAATATGATATTGTATAGAGTAAATATTGATATAATTACAACACCCTAAAAAATTATATTAAACAACGTTTTCAATATATACACATAGATAAAAGTACACACTAATTTTGAGTCCGTGCTTCAAGATGTCTTTCTTGAAGAAATAAATATTTCTGTAAGCTAAGGCAACAGAAGAGCTTCTTCGAGTTAGTACGCCTTTTCTTTCTAGGCGCGTATGGGTGAGAACCAAATCTCTTAGTAATTTCTGTTGCCCTGGTACTCCCGACAACATTCGGTCCCCACTACTGTGTCCGATTTGGGGGACCAGAATACAAGTAAAGAGGCTGCATATTAAGCGTACAAAGCCCTCTTTGCCATTTACCATCAGGTGGACTATAGACTCGTTTGTCACTCTCATATTATAAATAAAATTGGCAAGGTTTTAGAGAAGCCTAAATTCTCTAATGGTATAATAAGTCACTCTTGTACAACATCTTAAGTTAGTTAACAGCGTGTTAACCTACAAAAATGTGTTTTCACTTTTTATATATAAGAAATAGTGACAAACGTATACATTCCACCTACTGGTAAGTGGATGCTGTGGTTCATAGACATATACGTCTACCCTCTATAAAACAATCAAAATGCAGATGCGTTGTCACCCCTGAGAACCAAGATGGAATGTTTCCTTACCAGTAACTCTACCGTCCTCGTCATTCAACTATAGGCAACACGCACAGTTCTGCCGCGTACAATAACAGAGTGTCTGCCGAGTAGTGAGACTTATTCCTTTAGACTTTTAGTTATTTAAGTCTATAATTAAGTATCAAATATGTGCCGGAAAGAGATGGATATATTACCACTGACATCTAAAAGCACGCACTCATCTTACGGGGGACGGGTTTAAACTATTCAAACTCTTTCAAAACATTCAGAAAAACAGAATCGTAGAATCACGACAGGTCTATGTCCGAAAAATCCTGCAGCGGGTCCTTTGGCCTCTCGTCGCCCGATTTTAAGCTCTCCGCATTGGAATTAGAGTCCACTTTCGATTGCCCTTCGGTCTCATTAACACTCCCGCTAGAGTCCACGTGCACTTCAACACTGCCGACTACCCTTTCCACACCTTCATTGTCATCCTGGATCACGGATACACCCTGTATTATATCCGGATATACAGTTCTAGAAGGATCTAGAAGATCGGAATCATCGTTGCTGTAATTCTCTATATCGTCTAAATCTCTGTCTGTCGGTGTGTCGGCACGACATTTCGAAGGGGAAAGATTCTGTACTGCGGTTTTAGAGACCGTTTTGAAGATCTCCCCGATGTCCGCTTCCGTGGACAGTTTCAGAGCGTTTTGCCAACCCAGTAGCGTCTGAGAGTGAATGCTCACTTGTCTGTCTGCGAGTTCAAGGAGGAGGGATTTGATCTCGGCTCGGGTTTTCGGGACCCAGTCAGAGAGTTCCGAGCGAATCGCTTCCGATGCTTGTTCCAGTCTGTAAATTAAAATGTATATATATGGTAGTACAATATTTCATTTCCTCACTAAGAAAATCTTTTTCCACTATAACCACGGTGGTTTTTTTATATATAGAATTAGGGTGACAAACGAGCATACAGTCCACCTGTTGGTATAAGGATGTTGTGGCTTTTAAGCACTTACTTCTATTCTTCTATCTTTAATTAAGAATCGGAATGCAGATGCGTTGTCACCCTTGAGGACTAAGATGAAATGCCTCATTTTCAGTAACAAGGGTCTCCGGTTCTCTACACTCACCATACGAAACACGGCAACCTTAAACTGCCATTTTACGCTGGTATTCTGTGAGCATGGTCCTTCCCTGGTTGAACCGACCCATTCGTGTTGGAACCATAATAGCTGAAGCATGGCTCTGAATAGCGTGGTTACGAATTTACCGAGAAACCAGGAATGAACAGCTTTGCATTTGCTCTTCATCTTAGTATTTGGCATACACCATCTGCCAAGCTTGGCGAATATAGCAAATTCAGTCGGCAACAAAAAGGCCCACATCCAGTGGACTTTTACACGTTAAGGAGGAAAATATAAAATAAGATCTCACCTATTATGTAAGTCTCCTGTGGGGTTGTTTCCGGCGACGTATGCGGCTATAAAAAATAAATATGTTTAAGAGAAATTGGAAATCATAGCAGATGCGATCATTCGATGACGGAAATACAGAAGGAAATATTTTTCCTGAATTAAAACATCTCAGACCACTGTAATAAGTAGACACCAAATCACACAATCCACCTGATGGTAAGTGGTTACTGTGGCCCATAGACATCTACATCTACATCCTCGTTTGCGAATCTAAATGCAGATGCGTTGTCACCCGTGAGGACTAAGATGGAATGAGAAGGGTCTCCGGTTCTTAACACTCACCATACGAAACACAGCAGTGTTAAGCTGCTATTTTACGCTGGTATTCTGTGAGAGCGTGGTCCTTTCCCAGTCGAGAGGATCTATTCGTGCTACAACTATACTACGAATATAGCTGCAGCATGGCTCTACCACGTTTAAATCGTTAGATACAGATATAGAAAAGATAAAGTCACTTTATATTACGCTACAGTGTACATCTAACTGTGTGGTTGTAGTGTAACTATTACCCTATATCATCCCGCGGGTGTCGAAAGAGGCGACAGAGGGAAACAAACCAGGGGATGGGCAGCTGCGTCACTAAACATGTGTCATTCATTCATTTCTAGTGACCCGATCCTTCGAGTACTGATTCGTTTTACGAATCAGTACTCGAAGGATCACTCAAATGTTCATTTTGGGATAACCTATACAAATAAATAAACTTGGAGTATTTATTTGTAATGTTAAAAAAATAGATTTTTATAAAAATAATAGATTTGTATTAAAAAAATAATTTTTAAAAATTTTTGTCTGTTTGTTTGTTCTGGCTAATCTTCGAAACGGCTGTTCAGATTTTGACGGGACTTTCACTAACACATAGCTGAGTTTTTAAGGGGCAATTTAGACTATTTTTATTTTAGGAAAAGAATTAGGGTTCCAAGCAAAAAAATTAGAAATGCAATCGTAATAAATTTCACGCGGGTGAAGTTTCGAGGAACTGTTTTAAATAAAAGTAGGAGTTTTATCTACGCGTATTTTTAAAAAGGATTTTGGAAGAGCCGTGGTAGTTCAGACTGTTAGCGCTCGCTGTAAGCTTCACAGTACTCGAGCAACCCGGGTTCGATCCCCGCTGGCACCAATTAAATTGTTAATTGCAATTACAAGTGCTGATTTATTACGTGTTCGGCGGTGATGGAAAACATCGTGAGGAAACCTGCATGTCTGAGAAACAACAAAAAAAAATATTTCGAAGACATGTGAAGTTTGCCAATACGCATTGGGTCAGCGCGACGGATATTTCCTTGCCCTAAAACCCTCTTAGAAGTGAGAGGAGGCCTGAGCCCAGCAGTGGGACGCAAACAGGTTGCAACTTTACTTTTACTTTCATAAGATTTTTTTTTAATACAAATAGAGTAACAAATGAGCACACAGTCCACCTGATGGTAAGTTGTTGCTGAGGCTCCTAGACATCTACATCTATCCTCGCTTGCGAATCAAAATGCAGATGCGTTGTCACCCGTGAGGACTAAGATGTAATGCCTTGTTTCCAGTAAAAAGGGTTTCTGCTTCTTACTGTTCTACATTGACCATACGAAACACAGCAGCGTTAAGCAGCTATTTTACGCTGGTATTCTGTGAGAGCGTGGTCCTTCCCCGGTTGAGCCGAGCCATTCGTGCTACAACTATACTAAAGTACAGCTGCAGCATGGCTCTACCACGTGTAGAGATTTGGATAGTGCGAACAATAAGCGTGCACATATATCGCACAGTGCACCAGTGCGGCACCGACCGTGCAGCGCGTCCCGCTGGCGGATCTTGTGGCGGTGTGCGTCCGCGTAGGCGGCCAGCAGCGGCAGCAGCGCGCGGTGCCTGAGCGGAGCCCGCGCCCGCGCACTAGCTGCGCCCGCGGCGCCGCTCGCCAGCGCGCCCGCCGCGCGCCCCGCCCCGCCCCCCGCCTGCGTCGCCCACGCGTCGCACGCGCGCCGCAGCCTTGCACCACGACATCGCAATTGTTATCAAACACGACAACACAACTAATCCCGAACGCAACGAGTCCATATAAAATCTATGACCCGTTCACACACGTACGGTAGTTTTCCGTTCGAAATTATGCGGCGGACAAAACGGGATTCCGTATGTGTGTGACCGACTCGTTCGAAATTCCGAAACGGAATCACGAAACGGAATTCTGTATGTATGTGGCCGACTTTATTCTATATATAAGGCCCGTCACATACATATGGAATTCCGTTTCGGGATTCCGTGAATACATCACACACGTTCGAAATAACGACGGTCAGTTGAGAGACATTCTGCCAGCGAATAATGACGACGATTTTTTAATTGCAAATTCCATTGTTGCTGTATCATTCTTACTATGTCCATCCCCTTATTACCCTAAACTTGCAATATAGCCAATATTATGTAAAAAGATCTATCTATCCAGAGATATATTTTAAATATTTATGTCTATAATTTCTTTCAACAAATTATTAAATTAAATAAAATGAAAGATTACAAAAAGCTATACACTTACAAGATTAAATGTAAAAACATACATAAACACACCTACCCGCTTCGGTCATGCAACGAACACGCATTGCGTACGAAATTCACGTATGTGTATTGCGACTCGTACAAAATCTATAGAAGACTTACGTTCGAAGCGGCTTTTTTCCATTAGGGATCTCGAACGCACAAGCGATCATACGGACTCTCGAATCAAAGAAAATTCCGTACGGAAAAATACCGTACGTGTGTGGCGGGTCATAGATTTTATATGGACTTGCTACGTTTGGGATTCCGAATCGAAATATCAAAACCGAATCCCGAAACGAAATTCCGTATGTATGAAGCCGACCTTAGAGTGACAAATGGGCACACAGTCCACATGATAGTAAGTGGATACTGTAGCCCATATACATCCACATTTATTCTCGATCAAGAATCAAAGTGTAGACGGCGCGGTGGCTTAGCAATGAATTATTGCGTTAAGAACCACGAGTTCGAATCCCGCACGGAACAAGTATTTGTATGGCCTACAAATAATTGTTCCGGGTCTGGATATTTATCCTCGTGAAATTTATGTTTATAAACTGCTTCCACGACACAGGAGAAAATCCTAGTGTGGTGGTAAGGTTTAAAAAAAAAAGAAAAGTACGTTGACAGCCGTGAGGACTAAGATGGAATGCCTCGTTTCCAATAAAAAGGATCTCCGGATCTTCCGGTTCCGGTAAGTTCGTGAGCAAACGAACAGTGAATTTTATATAAGCAACATTTGTTAATACTTAGTTTTATTTTATTTTGACTTTATTAATTTCATCCCGTAAATTAATTATATCATTTCCAGTCTTGATGCGTTTATACAAATTTAAATCATCTGCGCACATATTAAAGCGACATACAAATTTTCTGGTCAAGTCATTAATAAAAATTATTAAGAAGAAAGGACCTAAGTGTGAACCTTGCGGTATACCAGTTGATATCAGTTTGGTTTTTGAAGTATAACCGCAAATCATGACTAAGAGACATTTTTAAATGATTCACACCATCGCAACAACGAAGCATGAATTCCCAGCGCTGACATTCTGTTTAGTAAAATATTTTTTTTTATAGGATCGGGTGACAAACGAGCACACAGTCCACCTGATGGTAAGTGGTTACTGTGACCCATAAACATCTACATCTATCCTCAATAAAGACTCAAGATGCAGATGCGTTGTTACCCGTGAGGACTAAGATGGAATGCCTCTTTGCCAGTAAAAAGGGTCTCCGGTTCTGTACACTCACCATACGAAACACAGCAGCGTTAAGCTGCTATTTTACGCTGGTATTCTGTGAGAGCGTGGTACCTTCCCCGTTCGAGCCGACCCATTCGTGCTACAACCATAATATAGCTGCAGCGTGGCTCTACCACGTAGATGATTTATTAATTTGATAGTCTTACAGAATTCTGTGTAAATTGAATGCAATTCCTTTCCGTCATCCAAAGAGCTACGGCAATGTTATTTACAAATACTATTAAGTTAGACGCAGTAGATTTTTTGACAAATATCCGTGTTGTTCTGCCAGTAAATTTTGCTCTGCACTAAAGCCTCTAAAACTCTTTGTAATGCAGCAAGAATTGATACAGGTCCATAATCTGTACGTCTATACAAATAAATAAAATTGAAGTGCCTGTTCGTAATGTCAAATTAACAGCTTTTTACTAAATGCATATGAAAGTATATACGGCACTTATAAACAAAAACATAATTTTTAAAATTTTTATCTGTCTGTCTGTTTGTTTGTTCCGGCTAATCTCCGAAACGGTTGGACCAATTTCGACGGGACTTTCACTGGCAGATAGCTGATGTTATAAGGAGTAACTTAGGCTACTTATATTTAAGAAAAAGAATTAGGGTCCCGCGCAACATAATTAAAACTCTTACTATTATTATTATTAAAATTTATGTATTAGTGTCAACCGAGCCTGTTGGTCTAAATAAAGTTTCAGCACTTAAAACAATTTCAAGAACGCAAGAGGTTTTCCATGCAAACCTTGCTCCCTTATTTGAATCTATTTTCCTACCGACTTCAAAAAGGAGACGGTATTCAATTCGACTGTATTTTTTTATGTGTTACCTCATAACTTTTTTCTGGGTGAACCGATTTCGATGATTCTTTTTTTATTTGAATGCTGGTTCCCATATAAATTTGATCAAGTTATGACCAATAGTTTTCAATAACTTATATTTATGTCGGTTGTACAAAATTTTTAATTATCTTTGTAAACATTTTATATTGACCCCTCAACAAAGCATCATATTATCAATATCTTAGCAAACTTAATGTTTCTTTATCCCTAGCTTTTATCTATTTTTTCTGATTTAAAAAAAAAACGTTACCCCAACACGTAAACTGCAAGTACAAGGTTTTACACAAAGCATGTACGAGTCACCAATAAAACTGTCAATTATACTTAAAATTGTAATTGGCAGTTTCATTGGTGCTGACCAAACTCTATATGTACATAGTGCACGAGTGTATGCGCAAGCACAGGTGCACTCTCTATTGCCTCACTCTCATAGTGCGATGGGACGGCAAGCCGACACGACCTGAGAGAGATCAGGCGCAGAACCAACGGCTTTACGTGCTTTCCGAGGGCCCACAACGCTAACTTACAAACTCCGGCCTGCTACGGAAATTTTTTTACCCGACCCCAGGATTCGAACCCGCGACCATTCGATTACTAAAAAAAATTAAATATACACTCACCCCGTGTACTCGGTGCTAAGAGAAGTTGAGATCTTGTAGAGCTTGGTGGTCAAAGCGCACAGTGTGGTCAGTTTCTGCTGCAAGGACTGTAGGTAGTCGGCTGCAGATGCGAACTCGGGGTCTTTCACCCTGCAATTACCACTATAGTTTATCAAAAGTCCACTGCTGAACATAGGCCTCCCCCATAGTTTGCCTCACACGGGGATGCAATGTTACTGTTGATTTGAAAATTTCACCTCTCCGTGGGTCATGTGCTCCTGGTAGATTATCTTCTATACATCCATCCATTACAGCCTATTAAAGTCCACTGCAGAACATAGGCCTCCCCCATAGATTGCCTCATAGGGGGGATATATTTGGCATAATTGTAATGTTACTGTTGATTTGAAAATTTCACCTCTCAGTGGGTCATGTGCCCCTGGTAGATTATCTTCTATACATCCATCCATTACAGCCTATTAAAGTCCACTGCTGAACATAGGCCTCCCCCGTAGATTGCCTCGTAGGGGGGATATTTACTGTAGTTGCCACTCTTGGCAGGCGGGTTGGCAACCGCAGGTTTCTTTTAGTATATTGAGCTATTTGTAAATGCTGCTGCTGCCCATCTCCAGTTTTAGTTTCCCTCTGTCTCGTACAGCACGCACGGGACGATATGGGATATATTCTTACACCGCCACTACACGGTATTATAGAACAGACTGGATAATAAAGGGGTAATGAGGGCATCTACCACTTATTTTGCCAACAGGGAGGCGCCACTAGAAAGTGAAGTATAATATTTGACACATTTCTTTTTAATAGTTAATTTGTTCGGAAAATGTCAAGGTCAATGTTTCTTTCTGCACTATTAGCTATATTTTGTATTAATAAGATTACAAATAAATAAACCAAAACACAGATATTCATAAAAGTAGAGAAAATTAAAAATGTGCATAAAATGAAAGAGCAAACCACTGAGGCATTGTTTTGTGTATTAATACAATACTCTAGAAACTGATAAACTTTTATTAAAAACTAACTTCTCAATTAAATGACATTGTGTAACAAAAAACTTTACCTCATTGTCAACTAGCGCCATCTGGTGAGCGGAAAATTATTAGCCCTCATTACAATATTGTCCGCCTACCAAGTATTATAATTCATTCTTTTTACAATGGGAGAGGCCAGTAGGGGCTACAAAAGAAAGAGAAGGAAAAGAGGAGATCGCGGATTTAGGCTTAGGCCCGCCCAAGCTGGGATAGCAAGTCTCAAAGGTGACTATTTGAAAATCAATAAGATTTTCTAAATCCTTGCGTTCATCCATCATAACCTATAAAAGTCCACTGCTGATTATAAACCTCCCCCACAGATTGCCATAGAGGGGATATTTGCTGTAGTAGCCACAACTGGCAGGCGGATTGGCAACTACAGTTTGTTATCATTTTTAGTCGTTATCAAGAAGACGCTGCTGCCCATCTTCTGATGTGTTTCCCTCTGTCGTCTCTCACGACACCCACGGGACGATATGGGGTAGTGGGTATTCTTACACCGCCGCTACACGGTCATCTTGCAATGCACCAAAAGTGTTATATGTAGATCAGATTGGATAATAAAGCGGTTTCAATTTCTCATTTTTATAATGGGGGCCCCTTTCCACCAGTGGACTTTTAGGAGGCTGCAAAAGGTAGAGCCACGCTGCAGCTATATTAATTGTATAGTTGTAGCATGAATGGTTCGGCTCGAGAAGGACCACACTCTCACAGAATACCAGCGTGAAATAGCAGCTTAATGCTGCTGTGTTTCGTATGGTGAGTGTAGAGAACCGGAGACCCTTTTTACTGGAAAAGAGGCGTTCCATCTTAGTCCTCACAGGTGACAACGCATCTGAATTTTGATTCTTAATCGGGGATAGAAATAGATATCTTTGGGCCACAACATTGATTTACCTCCAGGTGGACTGTGTGACCTTTTCTAAAAGAGAGAAAGGAATATAATGATGAATTGACAACATACCGGGCCCCATTGGTGGGTTTAGTTTCCCCGCTTCCATAGAGTGCGGTGCTGAGACCCCACAAATTTAGAGCGCTGTTCTCACTCTTGAACACCTGGAACAATCAAATTAACCTGTAAATTGTTTTTAAATCTATGGAAGATATATAAGGAATAATTTAATAATGTTTAAAAATATTCTATATATATGTGACAGATCTACAGCTGTATTATACGGTTAATTCGATCGAGGAACAACCTCAGACTTGTTTTCACACAATTTCACAGACGCTGTCGTAGGCTCGGGTAAAAAATATCGATATGTTTTCATAAAAACATATATCTTCGATATTTTAACCGCGATAAATCGATATTCGATATTTATTTAAGAGTATCGAATTCGTATGAATTTCGATATATTTTAAAATGTTGTATTAATCGACAAACCATTAAGCAACAAAAGCAACTACATAAGCATTCATGTGCTGTAGTTGTTTTTTTTTTGTCGTGAAACCGTCAGTAATAAAATTTTGGGCCTTATGCTAGTACATAAGTAAATAAACTAAGAATAGAATTAATATAGAATTTAAGTAATATATAACATTAATATGGATATAGAATATGTTTATCCATACTGCCTTGTAACATGGATATAGTAATGGAAGGGCGGACCCTCCAAACACAGGCATTATTTGCTTAAATGGAGGTTCCAATCTACTAGTTTTTAAGGCATTTACTTTTTAAAAACGAAATAAAATTTATTTATTTATTTATTTATTATTATTACATCATGCAAGACATGGCGATACATCGATATATCGATACTGTTTAAAAATATCGGTTCGATATATCGCACTTTTTTCATGTGCCCATCCCTATGCTGTCTTCGAGTTCCAAGCGAAACGAACCGAACTAAATCACGTTACTGAAGTTTCCGAACTAAATAGATATATAGAACAACACCGTACCATACACAACGTTTCAAACGAGGTCGAGCAATGCTGCAGCTATAATATTATGGTTGGAGCAAGAGTGGGTCGGCTCGACCGTGGAAGGACCACGTTCACACAAAACACCAGCGTGAAATAGCAGCTTAATGCAACTGTATTTTTATAGAATAAGGGTGACAAACAAGCATACAGTCCATCTGATAGTAACTGGATGCTGAGAGCCGTCCATATACATCGGCAACTATCCTCGGCTAAAATAGTCATAGTCATAGTCATAGTCGTTTATTCCATAGAACAATATTACGTTGTATTGGAAATTTATTACATGCATAGAGACATTTAATGCAATTATTTTAATTAAAATTGGAATCGATAAAATTTAAACATCATTTAACAAATTAATTAAATAATTTTCATGTCATAATACACTACAAATTACATTAAAAATTATACAATACATAAACAATAAAAATTAACATTGATTAAGTTTATTTTTGTCATTTAAGTAATCGTCAACTGAGTAGTAGCTTTTTTTAATTATTAAAGAATTTAATTTATTTTGAAATTTGTAGTGGCAATAAATAGTTTTAAATGAGGTAGGCAAAGAATTAAATAGTCCAATGGCTTGATATCTTGTGCTGTGGCGTACAACATTCAATGTTGGTGTGATAGAAATTTTTATATCTTTTCGGCGGGTCATATCTCTCTTTTTCCTTTCTTCGTATGTTTCATATTTGTGAAAGTTCTTTACTAAATGAGTAAGTGAAACTAAGATATACAGAGAGGGAACCGTTAATATGCCAAGATTTCGGAAATGTTCCTTACACGATTCAATTTGTGGAATACGTAACATGGTACGGATCGCCCTTTTTTGTAGTACAAACGCTGCCTTAATATTATACTTATAACTATTGCCCCAGAATATTATGCTATAACGTAGTTTAGATTCAACCAGAGCAATATAAACCATTTTCAGCTGTTCTAATGTAACTTCTTCTCGTAAACTTCTTAAGGCATAGCATGCTGAACTGATAGTGGATTCTAGTGCTTTAATTTCCTTTTTCCAATTTAAATACATGTCTATGTGGATTCCTAGAAATTTGACTGATTCAACAGAGTTAATACTTATACCGTCAATGTTAACGTTTATTGAATCTTTTTGTCTTGCTGTAGATTTAAAAAGCATTGCGTATGTTTTGTGTTTAATAAAAGATCGTTTGTAGTAAACCAACTTTTAAAGTCATACAGTGTGTTTTTTATTTTAGTATTTAATTCGTCTACCGAGCTAGCAGACACAATCGCGTTGGTATCATCCGCATAAATAGTAAGTTTTACATCATTCTGTTTAGTATGGGTGTAAGCAGTTAGCAAAAATTAAAATGCAGATGCGTTTTCACGTCTGAGGACTTGAATAGAGCCTCGCTGCCAGTAAAATGTACGTAGAATATTTACTGCGGTATGGTCTTATAATGTGGGGCAACAGCACTGATCAAAATAAAGCATTTGTCGCGCAAAAAAATGCATTAGAGCTATATGTGGGCTAAAACCGAATGAATCGTGTCGACCAGTGTTTAAAAAACTTGGCTTATTACCACCACCATCACTTTATATCTATGAAGTATGTATGTTTGTACAGAAGCACAAAACGTTGTTTACAACGATAGATGATGTAAATCCCCGCAGTCGTCAAGATCCTTATAGACTTGTACAAAACGATAATTCTAGAATAAGAAAATATAATAAAAGTCGTTTATTTATGTGTGTTCACTTATATGATAAGATACCTAATTACTTAAAAATATTAAATACAAGATCATTTAAATTAAAACTATATCAGTGGCTAAATAATTGTGATTTCTATAGTTTTAAAGATTTTTGTAGCAAAAAATATTAATGTAAAAAAAATTTGCATGCTATGAATAACCGTAGCTAAAACATGCTGATCTGAAACGTTCTGTAAAATATAAAACACAGCAGTATTAAGACAATTTTATGAAGATAAACTTTGCTTTTTATAGTATATTATTTGGACGCATAGTTTAAGAGATAATGAATAATTAAAATAATTCAACACTCGGCTCGGCGCGCGCGAACGACGTCTAGCCACCCGGTGAGAACCGAAAGAGAATGAGCGAGGTGTCAAGTCGCGCGCCTCAGAGCGTGATACCGCGGGGAACAACTACTACACTATAAAGTGTTTCTAATTTTATGCTCGAACCGAACCATTCGAGCTACTGTCAATGTTATATATGCAGCATGGAATACCACATATTATAAATGTATGGTTCACTTACCTTGTCCAACTCCTCGTCTGGTGTAGTGACAAACAGTTTGAAGTCTTCGCTGTGCGTTAGGATAGGATGTTTGGCAACGCGGTCTGCAAATATAAAAGTTAAATAATACAGAATTATTCGTGATGTGAGATATCAGAAAGTTAGTAGTAAGTTTATACATGGTAGAGCCATGCTGCACCTATATTAGTAGTATAGTTGTAACATGAATGGGTCGACTCGACCGGGGAAGGACCACGCTCTCACAGAATACCCTCGTAAAATAGCAGCTTAACGCTGGTTAGTATAGAGAACCGGAGACCCTTTTTACTAGATACGAGGCATTCCATCTTAGTCCTCAGGGACGGCAATGCATCTGCATTATGATTCTTAATCGAAGATAGATGTAGATGTCTATGGGCCACAGCATCCAATTACCATCAGGTGGAGTGCGTGCTCGTTTGTCACGCTTATATTCTATAAAAAAAAAACGCGTTAATTATTACATCTCAAATTATCTTTATCAGGAAACAGGTGGTTTATAATAAAAAATGTGTAGGAGCCGTGTACTTTCATGTGTGTCGCAAGGATCAACTTTGGGACCACTTTTATTCCTTATACAAAACATCCTTAAAATGGGCGTGGTTGTTTCATTCGATTTGATACTTCCTCACTGAACTAAGTACCTTAACATTTTTTTTAAAACAACATTTTTATTATTATTACTACATACATGTAAATTAAATAAGTTACTCTTTTTACTTTATTGCCCGCTGAAGCTTTAATTTAGCTTTAAATAAAATGTTTTTTCTATCTCCATTTATTTTTTATAGCAGTCATCATCATCATCATTACAGCCCTTCACAAGTCCACTGCTGAACATAAGCATTCTCTAAGGAATGCCACAAAGCATGGTACTGAGCCACCTGCATCCATCGACTTCCTGCATGTCTTACCGGTTCGTCACTCCATCTAGTAGGGGGACGCCCCACACATCGCCTACCGGTACGAGGATGCCACTCGAGAACCTTTCTTCCCCATCGGTTGTCGGTTCTTCGAGCTATATGGCCGGCTCAACCGCAGCTTATAAATCCGTTGGGCTATGTTGGTTACTCTGGTTTTACAGCGAATATCCTAATTTTAGTCTACCATGCAGAAAAACCCCGAGCATAGCCCTCTCCATAGCTCACTGAGCGACCTTCAGCTTTCTCATACGGCCAGCAGTGAAGGTTTTTAGAAAGATATTAATCTATTTATTACTAAGTTAATATTAAAAGGTAGACTTGCGTGTACCAAGGAAAGCGTGCAAGGCTATCGCACGCACGTGCACGAAAGCTGGCTGATAGCGGTCCAGCTGTTGTCGCGCAGAATGCAGCGGGGGAAGAGCTGGGGCTGCCACCAGAGGGGCACTAGCGCATAGACGCCGGTGCAATGTCTACCGAGAGGTATTATATAAACCAATACTCTTATTTTCTTAATTATATAACATTGAAATATATACAATATTAAAAAAACTATAATGAAAAAAATAAAACTAAAAATTTAAATTATCATACAGTCCTGCTCCATGGTATCGTGCCAAGTAAGCCGGCTGCGTTTCCTCGCTAAATGGCTATACTTAGCCTTTGAGCGAGAAAAGAACCAGCCCTCTTGTCACCAGCAGCAACGACCAGCCGCGGATGGAGTTCCTTTAGGAACTTCACCGCACGTGAACCCCACGGACCAATAGTCTCGTTCGCAGTCTATTTTGTTACTCGACACTACGATTTTCTCCTGTATTGTGGAGGCAGTTTACATGTGTAAAGGAGACGGAGACGTTTACATACATTCTTGGGCCCAAGTGTTAACAAGATAAAAGTTGGACCATTTTAAAGCTCACAACAATTCATAGGTTCATTCTAGGAGCTGAGTTATGGAAGATTAAATACTTTTTTCTTCTGTGCTTTTTTAAACATTCTCCTGTATCGTGGGGGCAGTTTACAAACATAAATTGCACAAGGAGAAACATCCAGACCTGGAACAATTATTTGTAGGCCATACAAATACTTGTTCCGTGCGGGATTCAATCCCGCGGCCCTTAGCACAAGTTAGGTTATGTGTTATCCACACTTTAACGAGTGGTTTTAATTATTAGGTAATGTAAATATTTACTTTCCCAATATTATTCACATGTTAAAGGTAGTAGGAGATTCAAGGAAACAATTATATTTATAAACTTGCATACTCACTATAAACATAACGTATGAACATAATACGTATGAACCCAAAATGGTGGTTAACGCATACTTATTTCTCTTTTAGTGGGAACGTCAAATAAAAACATTATCTCTTATTTATAAACTGTCCCGCTGCTAGACACAAGCTTCCTTGTAATCCAAATTCCCAGTTGTAAATCAACCAAGCCGACATCACTTACATTTGAGAACACTCAGGCAAGCAGGACTTATTCTCACAAATGTCACCTTAATGTTTAAAGTGAGTGATTATCAATTTTTAATACTCAGAGACGTTTAGTATAGGTACAATATCTTTATGTTAATTTTTTGACATAAAAATGTTTATTTCCATTTTTCCTTAAGCAAATGTAATTATTTTGATTCCAACTTTATAGATTTAACTTTAATAGGCTGTAATGGATGGATGTATAGAAGATAATCTACCAGGAGCACATGACGCACTGAGAGGTGAAATTATTAAATCAACAGTAAAATTACAACTATGGCAAATATCTCCCCTATGATGCAATATCTGGAGGAGGCCTATGTTCAGCAGTGGACTTTAATAGGCTGTAATGGATAGATGTATAGAAGATAATCTACCAGGGGCACATGACGCACTGAGAGGTGAAATTATTAAATCAACACTAAAATTACAACTATGGCAAATATCTCCCCTATGATGCAATATATGGAGGAGGCCTATGTTCAGCAGTGGACTTTAATAGGCCGTAATGGATGGATGTATAGAAGATAATCTACCAGGATCACATGACGCACTGAGAGGTGAAATTATTAAATCAACACTAAAATTACAACTATGGCAAATATCTCCCCTATGATGCAATATATGGAGGAGGCCTATGTTCAGCAGTGGACTTTAATAGGCCGTAATGGATAGATGTATAGAAGATAATCTACCAGGAGCACATGACGCACTGAGAGGTGAAATTATTAAATCAACACTAAAATTACAACTATGGCAAATATCTCCCCTATGATGCAATATATGGAGGAGGCCTATGTTCAGCAGTGGACTTTAATAGGCCGTAATGGATGGATGTATAGAAGATAATCTACCAGGATCACATGACGCACTGAGAGATGAAATTATTAAATCAACAGTAAAATTACAACTATGGCAAATATCTCCCCTATGATGCAATATATGGAGGAGGCCTATGTTCAGCAGTGGACTTTAATAGGCTGTAATGGATAGATGTATAGAAGATAATCTACCAGGAGCACATGACGCACTGAGAGGTGAAATTATTAAATCAACAGTAACATTACAACTATGGCAAATATCCCCACTATTAGGCAATCTATAGGGGAGGCCTATGTTCAGCAGTGGACTTTGATAGGCTATATAATGGTGATGGATTTTAAGAAATTAAAATATACCTTTTCCTTTTTTTCCTTAATTCACTATATGACTTTTAATACAAAGAAAGGGATTGGTTACCTTGAAGTGATTGTACCGTCTCCTCACAAAGGGGGGTGTGGGCCACCTTGCGCAAACGCATCGTACACGGTACGTAACAAATGTCTCTAAAGTGGACAGCTGTTTCATAGGAGCGTCAACCTGATGACAAACATAAGTTGTTATTGTAATAATCATGAACATACCATTTTATTTTTATATAGAATAAGTGTGACAAACAAGCACACAGTCCACCTGATGGTAATTGTATGCTGTGGCCCATAGGCATTTACATATTATATGCTATCCTTGAATTAGAATCAAAATGCAGATGCGATGTCACCCCTGAGGATGAAGATGAAATGCCTTGTTTCCAGTAAAAAAGATCTCCACATATCTACACTCACCATACGAAACACAGCACAGTAGCATTAAACCGCTATTTTACGCTGGTATTCTGTGAGAGCATAGTACTACCCTGGTCGAGCCTACCCATTCATACTACAACCATAATATAGCTGCAGCTGTCTCTTTCACATAGGATATCTCAGTGTCACATCCGTGACTGATGTATTTTGACGGGATTTGTCACAAGACTGCCATCAAGGCTGTAACCTGCATTAAAAATACAATTAAATGGATAATGAATAATCCCCTCCATTTATTCATCCAGTTAAAACCTAGTGATAAAAACATACCTTCACAGCGATATCATATCCATGCTCCATAATCAACGGAGCCCCCTCATTGCCATCATCGGTGACGCTCGGTGCCTCTGTATCTTCAGTGATGTCAGCATCATTTAAATCCAGGACAGCAGAGCTTGTATCACTCGTCATGTTTCTGATATATAGTAAAAATTATCATTATTAATTTTTCACTACTTATCTTACTGCAGTATAATATTTACCGGAGACAATTATTTTATATAATAATAGTACACGAAATTCCCTTTAAAATGACAAAAATATCAATAATATGTTATGTACTCAATATAGATAAATATATAATATTTACTCAACATAAATTTTAATAAATAAATAAAAATAAATTTTAACAATTTCTAGATACATCTCAACAGATATTTCGTTTATAAATGATTATCAATGTGTTTATATTTAGCATTCATTTAACACAAAAACCAATAAGAATACATTTTAAACAACATATAATCAATAAACAATGATCGAGTATAGTTATTAAAATTTCGAGCCAAATTATTACATGTAAATGTTCTGGAATTGTCATAATGATATATATATATATATATATATATATATATTTTTTTTTTTTTTTTAATGAGCTTAATCACAATGTGAATATGTCGCTCCGTTAGTTCAACACCAAAAACAAATACCTTAGGAATACTTAAACTTAATTACATTATACATTTCTTAAATCCTTAATTAATTACAATAAGTAGAAGAAGTTATGCATTTAGTTACAATTAAAATTACCAGATCAATCACAGTGAGGAAAGTGTGATTGATCTGAAAACTTCAACTTGTAAAGTTTGATTAGTAATTTTATGTCGTCAGAATGTGGCTTAGCTAAAATTATATTACAATCAGTGAAGTCTTTTAAGATGTGACGGCACTTATCAATACGAAAGGCAGCATTGTGGGCACACACCATCAAGACATGCATTAGGTCCTCGGGAACACCACATTGATCACATTTGGGTGACTGGACCTTTTTCATGAGAAATGCAAACTTCCTAGATGGAATGTGTCCAGTACGAAGCCTCATTATCACTACTGCATCTTGTCGCGATAGCTTATGGTTATCAATTCTATCAATTATATTTTAGGTGGTTGTGGCTGTACCGTCTTATACCAAATACCCTTTTCTTTTGAACGTAAATCGAAATACTCCTTCCATAGTATATAACATTGCTTTTTTATAATAGAAATACAATCAGTATAATAGGGTAATATGCTGTATTCGATACCATCCGTAGTAGCCTGTCTAGCCAAGATATCTACTCGCTCATTATATTTCTTACCACAATAAGACGGAATCCACTGCAACTTAATAGATTTTGATCTGGATGTTAACCCATAAATGGTATCCAGAACAGAGTAGGCTATCTGCACCGAGCCAGGTGTTGGAGTGCGCTTCTTGAGTCTGTCAATATCACAATACTATCTTGTGGTAGTGATGCAGCGTAAGACAGTGCTTCACATATTGCTACAAGCTCAACCTCCATGATGCATATATTACTATCTATCGTAAATTGTAAACTAAGATTACATTGTGGGTCAAAAAAAGCTGCACCAATTCCGCCTGCATCTTTAGAGCCATCGGTAAATATTTTATAATAGCTTCCATACCGCCTGTTAATGTAATCCAAACATATTAATTTTAGACTAAAATTGTTGTAATTTCGTTTAGCTTTTGAAATACATGGAATATTTAAATCAACTATGTTACTTAAATCTATGTTACTGACCCATGTACCTATATTAAACATTTCTAATTTTTGACTACTGTGAATGCGGGTATCAACGAAGTGATCATGAACAGATAAGAGTAGAGGTTTCTTTTTATTACGCCAATATCTATTGTTTCTAAAATGTGCTAATTCATTCAACAGTTTTAGTGTGATATTATTTCTCATTGATTTAGCTTTTAAGATGAATTTACTTGCCAAAAAAGTTCTTCGTACATGCAATGGAGGGAGGCATAGCTCACTCTCCATTGTATGAATAGGAGTAGTTTTAATGAATCCTCCAATCACCCGCAACGCCTGGTTTTGTATTTTGTCTAACTTACTTAAATACTTTTGATAGCTGTTATCAAATAAATAACTCCCATAATCTAGTCTAGTCCTTATAACGGCAATATACAATCTTCTTAAATGCTTGGGATGTACTCTCCAACCAGGTCCTACTAAAACTTTAAATATGTTTAAAAATCTAGAAATCTTATTCGTTAATTCCGTAATATGCTTATTCCACTTTAAAGACCGGTCCAGCCACATCCCTAAATACTTGACTGTGTTTACTACTTCTATTTTATTATTATTTATGTTTACTGAAATAGCTTGCCTACAAATACCTTTTTTAAAAATACAGATCTTTGTTATAGCCATTGAAATCTCCAAACCTAAATCTATGAGCAAATTATACATTTTATTTAAGGCCAATTGCAATTCAGTGGAAGCGTCATTTAAATTTTTACCCGAAGTATATAACACATAATCATCAGCATACTGAGAGATATTTACATTAGAATTAATTTGATTACAAATATGAATAGTTGAAATATTAAATAGTAGTGGAGCTATAGGATCACCCTGGGCGATTCCTCGGCCTGTAGACCTGGATAAAATTACATTGTCCACCTGAACACTTAAGTATCTTTCCCTTAAGAAAATCCACAAATATTTACAAACTTTTGATACAGCACCTAATCGATCCAAATTCATTAGCAAAGCCGTAATATCTATGTTATTGTACGCGTTCTCTATCTTTTGAAAACCCCAATTGTACTCTAGTAACTAAATTACTGAGATTGTCCAAACATGATTTTGATTTCCTAAATCCGGTGGTCTCTTCATAAAATAGATTTTCATTTTCCATCAACCATTCCAGTCTATTTCTCAACATAGCATGGAAGATTTTACTCAGGCAAGACATCAGCGAAATAGGTCGGAGCGATGATAAAGATGACGCCTCACGCCCTGCTTTTGGAATTGGTATAATGCGTATTTCTCGCCATTGAAATGGTACAAAGCTCAGAGAGTAAAACAAATTAAATAGTTCGAGTAAAATAATTAATGTGTCTTTGAGAAGGTGTTTTATCATTGAATAGGATATATTATCCACACCTGGAGAAGTATCTTTTGTTTTAACACAGCACGTTAGCTCGCTCATTGAAAAAGGAGAGTCAATTTTAATGTTACGAGATAAAAAACAGGGTACTTCGGACAAACTGAGTCTGGAGTCAAACTGTGTAAAAGCTCATTTGGCATAGTTAGATCAACATAACTCCTATTCACATTAGAACACCTATATCCTTTCAACCACTTCATTTTCTGCCACATCCCGTTTACTGTAGTAGACTCATCCATCGAAGAACAAAAAGTAGAAAACGATTTCTTAGTTGCCTTTCTAATTAGTAATTGTGTGATTCTAATTTTGTCTTTTAATTTATCTAAATTATCAGGAGTAGGGTTTTTTCTAAATAGAGAAAGAGCTAGGCGCCTTTCTGCAACAGATTTAGATAAGTCGGTATTCCAATACCCTTTAGGAGAAAAATGTTGTGAGGGATTTTGGCTGGTTCTGTAAAAAGGAATATGAGCATCAGCGGCTTCATTGATCATACTTAAAAATAATTTGTAGCTTTTCTGCGGATATATAAAAACAAAACTTGAAATTTTATCTTCTAAGTATGAGCTATATCCATCCCAGTATGCTTTTTTATAGTTCCTTTTCTTAAGGAATTGACGCTTACTATTGTAATATGACAAATTAATCTTAACAATCAAATGAGCACTGCCTAATGACTCATTAGTAACCTTCCAATCTAACTGCAGTGCTAGATCCGAAGATGCGATAGATATGTCAGGGGACGACTCCTGTACTATTCCGTGTACATATTTAACGCGAGTAGCTGTGCCATCATTCAAGGAAACGAAATTATTTTCAATGAAAGAATCAAAAATGTTGGTGCCTCTTAAATCAACCTTACTAGACCAGCTTGGATGATGTCCATTGAAGTCCCCAAGAATCAATGTTTTGTTAGTTTTAAAAGAAAATATTTCTGAGAAGTTCGTATGGTAGGTGGACAATATATAGAGAGTATGTAATCTATGTGTTTACAGTTAAATATTTTAACACAAATTATTTCAATTCCGGGATTAGAAATTTGGGCAGGTATTAGTTGAGTCTTTAAAGATTTGTGTATACAAATAGCAACCCCACCATACGAATCATTTCGGTCCCTGCGGTAAATATTGTAGCCACTGATTCTAAACGTAATTTCAGCATTCAGCCATGTCTCAGAAATGGCAGCAATATGAATTTTCACACTACTTAACAGCTGGTCAAACTCCGCGCGTTTGGGCCCTATACTTTGTGAGTTCCACTGGAAAATGTTTATTTTGTAATTACTACCCATTATTGTCCGAAGAAACTTTTAAAAGGCAAATCCCAAATGCACTGCTCCACCATCGGTACTAACCATTCAATAACTAATAACATTCCTTGAATTGTTTTCTTCTTAAGTTCTTGTTGTGAATTTGTAAATATAGAATATAACTTAGAAAGTAACTGCTTAAAATTAAGAGTAGATCTAAGCTTCTCCCTTCTCTCTTTTTTCTCTCTTCTTGATTGGAGCTCAATTTCAATATCATCATTATTATTGTTAACTATTTCTTCCGATTCTGACGATATATCGCTTACAATCAATTCATTCTGATTTTGCTTCTTCTTTCTTTTTCTCTTCGTCCCTATAGTCTTTCCTTTTAAAGCTTGCGGAACCTCCTTAGCACACGATTGTAATGCGAATGGTAATGAATTACTGTTAAGAGCATTTTCAAATTGTAGGTGTGGTACAGATCGAGTTACGCTTGCGTAAGTCACTACCCCATCGTCGTTTTGTGGGATAGAAGACATAGGTATGGGCTCGGGCAGATTATTATATAAAGGTGTATTTAGGTTGAGATGTCTTTGAGCTGTCTGTAATATAGTTGGCTCTTGTTCTACTCGTTCAGGTTGAGGATCTGGAGGAACATATACTTGTAAAGCCTTTTTATAGGAGCAATTGAATTCAGCCATTATACTCCTTAGACGCTTTTCTTTTATAAATATAGGACACGATCTATCCAACGATA